AGCAAACAATAATGTCTCATCGTGTCTTCTGCAAGGAAAATATAATTTGTCCTTATATTTCTACCACCAGTAGACAATGCTACCCTGCCTCCTTGTCCTACATTGTTGGGTAGGAGAGAAGCCAACGGAGAATATTGAAAGTTGTGGATGATAAGATTGTCAGTCTTCCTGTTGGGATTGATTGCGGGTAGAGAGCGACATCGTCGATGCTGTTTCTCTTTTTCTGTCAGAATATCATCGTCAAAGATCAGCGAGGGCAAGGTTTCCAACTGCTGATGTTTCTTTCTGGTTTGAAATGACATCGTGATTGGTGCTTGCAATTGTTTAGCAACTATCTGCCTCAATACCCCCCCTGAACATCAGCATGGAGCCCACTTGCCTGTGTGACCTCTGTTGATGCAATGTACGTGTCATATTCTTTTTATTTTTGCCTACCAGCTAAAAATAAGAAAAATCGAAGTGGAAAGGTATTAGAATGGAGTGAGCCAAAAAAAAAATAAAAAAAAATAAAAAGGGGAGGGAGTTAGTGACGACTTCGATTTTCTTTTTTTTTTTAAATTTGGTTAATACATTATGATTAATTTTAGTGAATTGATTTTATGGACATGATTGGAGAGAAGCAGTAGGGAGCATACTACAAAAGGAAAATATGACTCCTACATAGCATGATTCAATAATGATGGTCTGTCCTTTTTGGCCAGAAAATGCAATGAACTTTCGAAATTACAGACAAAGAATCGTTACCTTCAATAAATAAACATTCAAGAACAAATTCTAAATTATGAAGCTGATCAATTACAAAACAATTCTCACCCAGTCGATATTCAGGAACTAAAACATCGACTTTTATCCTTTGCCCAACATCGTTGGCAAGGAACCCTACAACCCCCTTCACTTATCCTTCCTTGCCTTGCCTCACTTTAATTCTTATGCCATTCGACGTTCATGTATCAACAACTGATCATCTATAGTGTCCCCCTTATGCTCGTCTTTGAACCAATGGAAGATAAGTCTCTCTCCTTCTACGACTGCGACTTTGCCTTGGTCTAGTACCCTTTTCTTGAATTTGGTTAAAATATCCTTTGCCCTTTCTGGGTTAAGAGTCACTTGCTTCTTTGTCCTTCTCCATAACACCCTAATATTTGTCTCCAACAGTCTATAGAGAATTGCCTTGGCTTCCACTCTAGTCATCATAATCTTGCCTACCACCTGCTGACATCTTCGTTTCCATATTGTCCATAAAGTGTACTGTCTCAGAAGCTGAAAGATATATTTGTGGCCTGCCCCCCATTCCTTAGGCACCTCACTTCCAATCAGTATTAGTTTTCTGTTTCGCGGGAAGGGGACCTCCGTAGTATGTGACCACAATAAACGAGCTATGGACCAAAGATGTTCTTCTTCCTGACAATAGAGCAAGAAATAGGTCGGAGTTTTCTGAACGCCTCTCATACACATAACACAGTCTTGATTTTTTTTCCTCATTCCTATTGAGCCTGCTTCGCTTATCGTATAACCAGACACTGACTGGGAGTGCTACATGATAGATGAGCCACTACATGCTCTTGACCTTGGCCAATCTGATACTGTGCAAAGTTGACTATGGTAGCCTTTCTACCTGTTCCCTTGGTATATCCAGTCTCTTCTCCGATCTTATCGCCAAAATCTGATTCAAATGGCATGATCTCCCCCTCAGACGGTAACTCAATTTAGTGGTGTATTGAAGTATATTAATTCTCCTGCTTACTCTGGACGAGCTTCCCCTGATGTTCCATGCCCACTCTGCTGGATCAATTTCTAGGTCCCGAATGGATGTCAGTGGCTCAAATATCGTAAAATCTTCATTCTCAACCACTCTGACCCTTCTTAAGATACTTTTCTTAATGGCGATCCGAGCCCTGGAATCCTTATCCAACATACTGACCGTGACTCTTGGAGATAGTATTGTGTACATATCTGCGTCCAACTACTGTTTAGAAGGTCCGACCTCCTGTCTTATGCGAAAGGCTGCCTCTAGTTCATTAGTAAAGGCTATTGTTGCCCAATCCCCATTTGTCTCGTTCCTTCAATGTCCTTGTCCACTCATACGGGATCGAGACAAGAATGCCATTCAGGTTTTGTGTCAACAACTGATCATCTATAGTGTCCCCCTTATGCTCATCTTTGAACCAATGGAAGATAAAGTCTCTCTCCTTCTATGATTGCGACTTTGCCTTGGTCTAGTACCATTTTCCTGAATTTGGTTAAAATATCCTTTGCCCTTTCTGGGTTAAGAGCCACTTGCTTCCTTGTCCTTCTCCATAACGCCCTAATCTTTGTCTCCAACAGTCTATAGAGAATTGCCTTGGCTTCCACTCTAGTCATCATAATCTTGCCCACCACCTGCTGACATCTTCGTTTCCATATTGTCCATAAAGTGTACTGTCTCAGAAGCTAAAAGATATATTTGTGGCCTGCCCCCCATTCCTTAGGCACCTCACTTCCAATCAATATTAGTTTTCTGTTTCGCGGGAAGGGGACCTCCGTAGTATGTGACCATAAGAAACGAGCTATGGACTAGAGATGTTCTTCTTCCTGACAATGGAGCAAGAAATGGGTCGGAGTTTTCTGAACGCCTCTCATACACATAACACAGTCTTGATCTTCCTCATTCCTATTGAGCCTGCTTCGCTTATCGTACAACCAGACACTGACTGGGAGTGCTACATGATAGATGAGCCATTGCATGCTCCTGACCTTGGCCAATCTGATACTGTGCAAAGTTGACCATGGTAGCCTTTCTACCTGTTCCCTTGGTATATCCAGTCTCTTCTCCCATCTTATCGCCAAAATCTGATCCAGATGGCATGATCTCCCCCTCAGACGGTAACCCAGTTTAGTGGTGTATTGAAGTATATTAATTCTCCTGCTTACTCTGGGCGAGCTTCCCCTGATGTTCCATGCCCACTCTGCTGGATCAATTTCTAGGTCTCGAATGGATGTCAGTGGCTCAAATATCGTAAAATCTTCATTCTGAACCACTCTGACCCTTCTTAAGATGCTTTTCTTAATGGCGATCTGAGCCCTGGAATCTTTATCCAACATACTGACCGTGACTCTTGGAGATAGTATTGTGTACATATCTGCGTCCAACCACTGCTTAGAAGGTCCGACCTCCTGTCTTATGCGAAAGGCTGCCTCTGGTTCATTTGTAGAGACTATTGTTGCCCAATCCCCATTTGTCTGCTTCCTTCAATGTACTTGTCCACTCATCCGGGATTGAGACAAAAATGCCATTCAGGTTTTCAGTTAGTCTGTGACAGCCCTTCATTTCCTCCCTCAACTCCCTACCTGTTTTCCATCTCCCCTTGGTGCCTGACCAGAGATGTTTTACCTGCCATACCCCATGCTCTAACCACTTCCCCCACTTGGCGTTCTTTGCTGTTAGTGTTCTAGGTCTTCCTTGAGAGTCTCTTAACCATTAATTACAAAATAATGGTTGTATAAGCACTTCATCCTTCGTCTTGGGTTGTCTTACTCTTGCCGGGAAGACCTTCGCCCAAATTTTGAGCAATTGAGCCCAATATGTACCTCTAGCTGCACCATCCTCTGCTAATTGTTCCCCCATTCTATCCTTCTTAGTCCAACCCTTGTAGAATAGCCAGAATGTACCCTTCATATTGGAAGGCGTTTTGTATCTGACCATCTGTCGTATGTGGTCAAGTACCAATGGGACCCACCGTAGGTGAGGCTGTGTTAACAACTTAATGATCCACTTAGTTTGGAGTGACCTTATCTGCTGTCCCGGATCCAAGACTCCCAACCCTCCCTTGTCCTTTGGTTGAATAACTTGGTTCCATGATACCTTTGATATAAAGTTAGATATTGTAGGATTTGCTGTCCGCAAATATGCTGCCGTCACCTTCCTCAGTTTCTGTAGTGTATTTGCAGGTGGTCACCATATTTCTTTTTCCATTCGGTCGCCAGTTGTAATATTTCTTAGAGCCAACCACTTCTTCCATTGCTCCTGTTTTTTTTTTTAATTTTCATTTGCTCCAGTTTCAACAGGTTTCTTTTCCTTTTGTAGACCAATAAATGTCTAAGATTGGGTACTTACCGAAGACTTGTTCAGCCCGGGCCACATTCGTCAACAATTTCCTCTCTACTTCATTTCTTCGTCCAGCCTTTATTTGTGACATAACATTTAAGGATCCCTGTAAAATATGCAGTCCTACTTTTGTCCAGTCTGATTCTGACTCAAACAGATACTTGGCTTCATCCCACTCTTCAAGGTGCCTTTGAATCCAAAGAACAAATTTTGGGTCTGTTCAACTTGAAGTATGATTTACCAAATTTCTCCTTCTGTGTGATTCTAAACGTTGCTATAACTGGACTATGATGATAGTATGATCTGATATGGAAGAAGTATCGACTTCCACCCGGGTGCAAGTGTTCCAAGACTCCCCTTTCATCAAGAAAAAGTCTAATCGTTTGCGCGCCGGGGGGGTCTGAGAACCATGCCATGTGTACCCTGGTGTTTCCAGATTCAACGTCTGGTATGCGTCAGTCAACCCTTGAGAGATCAACAACGAATTCAACAATCTACAATCTGCTCGTACGGTCTCCTTTTAGGGCTATCGAGCCCTGGATTCAGAATTGCATTCCAATCCGCACCAATAATCAGGTTTTCAGAGTCTGACAAAAGGCTCGACAATTCCAAAAACAAGGTTAATCTTTCCGTGTAATCCGATGGTGCATAAACCGACATCACAGTCCATATGGTTTCTTCCATAGCGACTTTAATACAAACCCAACGTCACCGGATGTATATCATTTGATAAAGTATGGAAATATTTAGATCTTTGTGAACAAGGATTCCCCCCCCCCCCCCTCCTCGTCCCCTGTGTGCTATCTGCACCACACGCAGGGGCCCAAAACTGTGGCCCCCTCCACCATTTCGTGTCATTCTGCATTCGCTTTTCATCTAGCTTGGACTCCTGAATACACAGGATCTGGATATTTTTTCATGAAGCCAAGATTTTAGTCTGTTCCTTCTCTGTTTTTTTCCCGGTGTCACATAATCCGCGAACGTTCCATGTTGCAACGCGGAGTTTGCCTCTAAGAGGCATTACCTACTGCCCCGCCGTGAATGCTTTGGATTCGGCCGTCATCCTTTGCCTCCTTTTCTCCTTTCTTTCTTCTCCTGATGCCTTCCGTCTCACTTCCCCCCGTCTCTTCCCACGACATTCTCAATGTATCCACAAGGGATCTGTCAAACATTACTTGCCTCTGGCCAGAGTGAAATAGCCACTTTGCTATTGTGCGGGCAGTGAACCAAATTTTAAATGTGATACTATCTAGTCCTTCGTTCAATGGTGATTTCAGGCACGACAGTGGGAACCACCCTTTATCAAGGGACTCCAACTGTTGCTTGATCTGATTAGTCATTCGTGCATCCAAGAACACGTAGTACAGTCTGACCCTTCGTCCTGTAAGATCCTGGGCAATATCAACTCCGACACGAAGCGAGGGGATAATTCGAAGATTCAGACATGCTGGAACCAGTCTTTTAACTTTGGAAATGACCTCTGACTCAGTCAAAGTTTCATCCGCTTCCATTGTAGGAAGCTCCATTGTTCCGTCCGAGAGTAGACAGGACATTATGATTATCCCTTCTTTGGCATTTGCAAGGATTAGAGGAACCAAAAGCTTTGGAATATTCTGATCTTCCACCCCTAAGGTTATCACAGGGCCTGCATCTAGCAATCCATGGTGTCCATCCATTTTCCCAGCTCCCGAACTCTTCTCACTCTCCATTCCTTCTTCTTCTGAACCATCCCCATCCCCGACAGTCCTTAGTACCCATTTTCGGGCGTTTCGACCCTCCTGGGATTTTCCTTTCTTGTTCTTCTTACCCCTCGCCAATAAATCTGCTGCTCGATTAGCCAGCTTAGAGGTAGACTCCCCATCCTCCTCTTCGTCCTCTTCCAGTTCCTCCTTCATGTCTTCTTCAGATGGTTCTCTTCTCCCCTTTTCCCGTGTCCCTTTTTGGCCTTCCTTTGCCTCATTCCCTTTTCCTCCTCGTCTTCTGCTGCCACCTGTCGTTCTGCTGTCTGCAGAACTCGTTGTTCCCTCGTTTCCTCTTCTCGCCTGCTGATTCCAATTGCGGTTCCTCTTGTGCTTGTCTCCCTGTGGGAAAAAACGACGAAACCCTGTCAACGGCGGTCTTTCCTCCATCGGCATGAAACCTAAGGAAGGAGGTTCCGACGGAGTGATTTTTTTCACCTCCTCGTTAGAAGGGTCATGCTCTACTTCTGCCTTAACGGGACAACATTCATCTGTCTGCACATGGTAAAAGGCTCGGCAGAGACCACACCAAGGTGTTTTTGCTGAGATTACGTCATAATAGTAATCCCCTTGGTTTGGGATACCTACCACCTAACGCGGTTTTACCCTGGGCCCTGCTTGAGGTTCCAGGTCAAACCTTACTGTTCCCGATTCTGGTTTTTCATTATCAGGTTCAGTGGGATGCTGTTTAATAACTGTCCCAAAAGTGTTTTCAATAGCGGTAAACAACGCAGACATCAGTTGGAGTGGAACTCGTGGACACCTGACCCAGAAAATCTTTTGTACAGAATCTTTGAATGTTTTTATCTCCGCGAAGGTCATCCAAGGCATAAACTGCACCTTATACTCTTTCCCCTCCGCATAAATTTGGTCAGTTCTTTTATGAATCATCCACTCAATCACGTTTGTTGAGTCGACACAAAGGAACAAAGATTCTTTCCTTCGCTCTGGTAGCGGCCCTGTTTGACCCCTTCCTCTATCAGTCCCGAATCATACCATGCACTCTCATAGATTCTCACCAACTGTTTCTTGAGTCTGTTGGAGAGGACGGCGACATCATTGAGGAACAAGATGGTGACAGCGTGTTTCTTAAGCCACTGCACATTGTATTCGGAGAATTCCTCACTTAAATCAAATCTTGCCAGGTCATCGGTCAAGGTGGGAACTCCGATATTCAATCCACTTGCGATATTCAATCCACTTGGGACTATGCCATCGCTAAAACATGCATCCATCAATGAATTTATCTGTTTCTTTTCCTCCTCCGTGTACATTTTACGAACCACGACAGTCCCATCTCCCTCCCTAGCCATTTTTGTATGGTGAGATTGTTCCGTAGGGGTGGAGCAGGCCAACGTCAACAGAAAACCTAATATCACCAAATATGAATTAGGAATTCTATATATATATAGCCCCTCGTTTGTTGTCTTTCTCTCTCTCTCTGCCTACGGTTTACCGGGCAGTTCTGTTTGTGACGATATATGCTACGACTTCGCTAGCTTCCTGCTACGTTTTTTTCCGGTCAAGTCGAGCGGCAGTGGTCGGGGCCGTTACTAGGCGGACATGCTGTGCCTCTAGTGCCAGCGGCGTGTCTGGAGTGTATTTTTTGGCTGTGACAGAC